GGTATGTAAGATTTCCATACCATACAGTTGACCAGCTAAACATTAAAGCACAATTTGCAGCAGTCGCCTGTTTTCCCAATGTAATCTGAGCGATCTACTGCACGCACATTGCTATAAAGACACTATCTGAAGATGAATTTGCATGCGTGAATCAGAAACATTTCCATTCAATAAATGTGCAAATAAAATATGATGCACAAACTTATTGATGATTCCTACTTGTCTTTCTCTTGATAAAAAGTGGGCAAAATCTGATATGTAGCAGGGAAAAAAAGAAGAAAGAGTTCATCAGATGCTGGATTCGAGCCGAGTTAATGCTCGAACGTGTCAGTCCATGACCACATGCTTCTTGTGAGGTGCGCCACTGAGACTGCTAAGGGTACTGCAACAGTTTACAGATATAAACCACACTATTTCTTTTTTAAATGCACTCAGTGCGATGTTCAGACCCAAATGTGTTAACCGTATCAGCTAAACTCTCCCACTCTATTTTTTTCTTTTGTTGTTAATTCCGGAGAACAAACTTGCAAATAACACCGCTTTTCTCCGGTCTACCTCCGAAAGCAGCACCTCCAATTCACATTCTGTTCAAACTTTCTCTTTTTGCTTGATTTTGCCGTTGCTTTTTCGTTGGGTTTTTCCATTAGCATAGTCATTAGCATATTCATACGGGGAGGAGGCAGGGAGGGGTTTTGTGCTCGTGCATGTTGCGCTCAGTTTCACGTTCATTCAGATGTACAAAAGAATATGCGTGAGATTCGGCGTACGCAGTGTTTCATACATCTGATTTTTTTTCTGCGTACGCACATTTACAGCTTTGTGCGTACGCAATGTTTTAGTAAGATTTCCACGCAAGTCTTCGTACATGAGGCCCCAGATGTCTTTAGGCCAATTAAGTGTAGTTGCAATACGTTCGAACGCAGTAAAGTAAGAGTCAACCTCATCTTCACGGAAATTAGGAACAAGTGAAATTTGTTTACTTACGTCAATTTGGTTGAAAGAAGATTAAACATCTGGCTTGATCACCTGACCAGGCATGAGTACATCAGTACTGACCACAGGAGAAGTCATAGCAGCCTTAGCAGCAGCGTCCAGCTCCAACTGGCGCAACCTAACTTGCTTGTCAGCTTCAATCTCGAGACGCCGTATCTCAAGCTTAAGATCCAGTTCAGCCTTATGTGTCCGAGCTTTCTCCTGAGTCTCATACTGGAGTTTGGCCAGACGTAGCTTAAGTCTGCCATTTGTCTTTGAATCAGTAGAGACAGGGGTTGATGGATCAAAGGGCGGCAACGCAACTTTAGCCTCAACCTTCGCTTCAACGTCAGTTACATTACTACCATGCCCTGCACTTTCAGGACTGCTCGGCCTTTCAGCTGAATAGTTAGGATCAAGTTCAGTGACATTCTCACTAGTGGTCTGAAATACTCCTATTTCAACCAAATGATCGTAAAGTATTTTCTTAATAGTTTTTTTCAGAAATTGGCGACTGATCGAAATTTGAAAATGCTCTGCAATTTTGAAAAGTTCGTCCTTGCGGCATTTATCAAATTGCTTGAGTGAAGGATTATTAAGAAAAGCTTCCACATTAGACAATGCCATTTTTTAATCACAAGCTAGTCAGAAGCAAATAGACAAAATCAGTAACTCATTCCTCTAATACTACATCTAGTATAATCCACAAAATTACTTTGGGTACAGAAAGAATTGAGTATCTGTAGAACCAAAATCCTCAGAAATAAATGTTGGGACGTTAATAATCCCGGACGAGCCCCCAAAAATGTTACAACCCCTGGGCAGTCTAGGGAAGTGGGGTTGCACACTTGATCAAGGATTTTGTTCAAACAAACACTCAAAGAAAATTGAACTCAAAGTAATGACAACATACAAGCATTTCTGTGCAAATAAAGTGAAGCAGTGAGTGAGCTATTTTCAATATTTACAATTCACAACCAAAACAAAAACCTAAATTAGAAAAACTGGCTATGGGTGGCGCTAAAGCAAAGAAACAATCAAAACCAAACAGTCTTACTAATATCAAATCCCCGCTAATCTAGTCTAATAAACAATAATGTGAAAAATAAATCTTCAACGTCCAAGACGTCTTACCTAAACTACACTAACTATCCACTTAACCAAAAATACACGGGTTGGCGCTCACCCCCTTCCCTAGTGTATCTCTAGACAGTTGAACTCCTATGTGTTGAAATGTATGTCACGTGACCTACTTACCTACCAGTCTTTCTACCAAACCTCTGTAGGGAAACATGAGGAAAGGGAATGAATGATTACACAGGTAAGAACAGACAGTGACTAAACCAAAATTACAACACAGTGTAAATAAAGGATAAGACGGACAATATAACAACAAAACTTAACAAAATGGGGATATAAATCCCCAAAAAATGGGGATATAATTTAGGTTCAATCAAGAGAGCAAAAAGCACAGAAACCAGTAACAAGGTGAGCCAACAAAAAGACTCCCAAACTGCTGGCAGACAAAAAATATATAGTGAGCTGGAGTAATCTAATTGGCTGAAACTGGAAAAGAGTTGTCACAGAGGAACCAATCAGCATAAAGCAGTGTCAGGATTGGTTGCATCAAGTGGATGTTAACCAGCCAATCAGGAACAGCAGTAAGCAAAAACAAGGAAGTGAACTGGAGTGATAAAAAGAAAAACACAATGAGACACATAGTAATACAACCATAAATAACCAATACGTGCTGGCACGTAACACCCTATAAAACCTACTGCATCATATATTAGACATAAAGGACTGTATATTATCAAAGTTGACAAACCTTTGTTAAAAAGGCTTCAACAATAGCATTATAAGAATCATGCTAAAATATATTAATGAAAATATGATGTATTTATTTATTTTTGTTGTATTTATATTGATTTATATGATTTTTTTGTTCAGTCAATCAGATTTGTAGGCCCACTGCACTGTGTTTTGCCCAGCATAAAATTACAGAGCTTTCATTTTTGACAATTTAATGTCAACTATCTAAAGACAAATTATTGAGAGATTTAGAGCAATACATTCTATTTACAGTGGGGGAAATGAGTATTCAACACGTCACTGTTTTTTTTTTTCTTCAGAAAACATATTTATAAAGGCACTGTTGACATGAAATGTTCACTGGATGTTGGTTACAACTAAGCGTGTCACGATCCTCCAAATCCTCAATTCGATTACATTTTCGATTCTAAAGGCAGGATTCGATTCGATTTTCGATTATGAATAATTAATTAATTAATGACCAATTAATTATTTGTAGCCTACCATTTAAACTACCTGACCAGCATGGTCTTTGTTTTACCCATAAACAAATCATACAATAAATGAATAAAGGCAAGATACACACATAATTACCACCTGTCAATCACTCTTTCTGCAGGACTCGTGAATAGGCAGTGATCTGTGTCGTTATAATGGCGTCGGTAAAAAAGACGCACAACCAACAGGAACCAGCCAACAGTATTTGAGGTGTTCGCTAAAATGACTAAGTACAAGTGAGTGAAAGATTGAAGCAGTCCTCTGACTGCCTGGACCTGCTGTCTCGAGCGCATGGCTTTGTGTGCGTCTGTGTGGTCACGTGATGTGCATTTTCAGAGGTAGAAAGGAAGGAGGGCTGCTCAGAAATGCTACACGCCACTGTGGATGTCAAATCGTTGTCGTTCTAAAATTTCATTTAAAAACAAAGACAGTGTAAACAGGGCCTGAGTGTGTACTTTTCGCGAGCGGATTTGCAATGGGGCGGGCGGAGGATCGCGATGCCGGTGTTGTCTATCGGATGAACCGTACGTAATACGTACATAGCAGAGCTTGCGAAACTGTGTTTTTTTGTCGACAACACAAACATTGTCAACATAACTCACTGGAAATCCAAAATGCTTTCACACCGGCGACTTCATTTAAAGAGGAGAGGGTTTAAGTTCTGTCGACGGGTCTCCTGCTTCTGCAGTTTAACAAGCACTTCAACAAGCCTGTTTTTTTCCCGCTTGGCGAGCCAAGCTGACGTGACATGAGGGCGTGGCAGCATCGACGATTCTATTTTTTGATTCGATAATCGAAATTAAATTTATGTGTAATAAAATGTAATAACACATGAAAAAGTACTGTACACATGAAGAAAAGGAGGTGTAGAAGGGCAGTGATAGCCCAGACAGCTGCTGAAATCTCTCAGTAGTTTTTCAGTAACCTTTTGCCCTTCCTATTTGTAAATGAACATCAGCTGCTTCGGTCCAACATCTACATTCGCAGGATGATTAGGATGAGTGGACATTTTAGCAAGACAAAGATCCAAAACACACCAAGGAACGGCTCAGCCAATCACCTGACTTGATTCCAATATAAAATACAAATTAAAGATCAGATTTGTTAGGCGAAACCCACAGAACAATCAAGATATTTACACTCTGTTGAAGTCATTCTCTATATTAGAGGTGTCTTTAAGCTGCCATGACCAAAAAAGCCTTTATTTATAGTATTAAATACATTTCAGTAGTTCAGTACTTCCATTGTTATTACACAACTCATTTTTCAGATAAAATTTTTGTTCATTTTTTTATGTTTGTATTGTTTGGGATTTACCGAAATCTGATTCAATTTCATGTCAACAGCTCCTTTAGAAATATTGTTCCCAGAAAAAAAAAACATGTCATGTTAAATACTTGGACCTGGATCTGGTTCATATTTTTCATGTAAATAAGTTAAATAACATAAGGCTGGCTATTTTATTTGTTTATTAAAATAACTAATTGTATATCTGTTCTGTTGGGGAAGAATGTGGGGAAGCCATTGGGGGGAGTGGGGAGTAGTATTTTTTTCAAATACCTTTTTTATGGTATTTATAATACATTGCTTTAGAATATTTGTAACTTTTAACATGCTTAAAGACTGACAAATATGTCTAAAAAGCTGAAAAATATATCTACGTTTATGAAATGGCAAATTGCTCTCTAATTTAGATCTACAATGTGTTTGTTTTACAGCCAGTTATTCCAGAATGAAAAAGGAGAGCTTCTGAAAGAGGGGGACATAGTGAAATTTAACAAACTAGCAGATACGCTTGAGATCATCGCAAAGCACGGAGCAGACGCTTTATACACTGGTGACATCGCCAAAGACCTTGTTAGTGACATACAGGCTGCAGGTGATTTTAAACGTCACTCCACATTTCTGAATGTAAAAAGCCTGTAGAGGTAAATGAATCACACTTTGTGTTGTTTTTAGGTGGAACGGTTTCTCTGGAGGACCTGAATTCGTTCAGGGCATCTGAATCAGATGCTTGGGAAGTCAATCTGGGAGACTATGACATGTACTTTCCTCCACCGCCAGCAGGGGGAGCGATACTTAGCTTCGTACTCAACACCATGCTAGGTGGGAAAAACTATTTTTATTTAATAGTAGTTGCTTATCCTTACTTATCCTGAATCAGCTGTGCTTTAGATATGAACGACTTAACCATGTGGACTACCATTTAAAAGTATGGGGTTGGTAAAACTTGCCATGTTTTTGTGTAGTCACTAATGCTTAACATTTGCTAAATTTTTAGGATCAAAAATACAGTAAATATTTAATGTATTTCATACATTCTTTTGATCTCAAAGTAGAGTTTTCAGCATCATTACTATTGGTTTCTGTGTGTAAGTTTAAATGGAAACTAATTATCCAATTTTAATACAATTAATACAATACTCCTGTAAACAGCGATTTTTGATTAATTTAATCCTATTAAGGTCATAATCGAACTGAACAGAAATTGAATTAAGACGTGAAGTATGCCGATTTTAGTATCATTATGAAAGTGCGGCACAGACATTGTAAACAACTTAATCAAACTGTTATCATTGTGTAAGATTTTTGCCACATTTTGCGTCAGGATAGCCCATACACACATGACTGTTTGACACAATTCTCTGCACCTATTAAGTCAGAGAGGGACCACAGACACTTGCATCCAGAAATGTGGAGTTTTTTTGCCCCTCCGGCGAGCGGTATCAAATATAGATAGCATGGTGTCACAATGACATTAATTGAATTATGTGCTATACCATGTAAAATGGGATCATAAAAGGAACATTCAAAAAGCAACTCATGTAAACACCTTAAACATATTATTGTCTTATTCAGATTAAGGCAAATAATTTAATTTACTGATATCCATGTATATGTTGTCACTGTCACATGATTCTAGAAAAAAAAACATTTAAATGTGGTAGTTTGCTGCTCATTTAAAACATTTCAGCTGTAAAAGCATCCGTTTTGCATCATATTTAGGAGGAAATCATTATAGAATTCCTTAGAGTTTTTTTTATTATTATTAAAGGGACTTTTCAATAAAAAATTCTGTCATCATTTAAAACACCTTTCACTTGTTCCAAACCATCATGAGTTTCTTCATTCAGTTGAACACAAAAGAAGATATTTTGAAGAAAGTTAGAATCCTGTAACCATTGAGACCCATAGTATTTGTTTTATCTAGTAGGGATGTTAATGGTTACCAGTTTTTAACTTTCTTCAAAATATCTTCTTTCATGTTCAAAATTCACAAAACTGAAAATAAATAAAATGAATCAAACAAAAAATATTTTATTTGTGAATGAATCACACAACGAGTCTGAGATGAAGGACCAAGAGCTCATTTTCTAGTCACTAATGTTGTCTGTCAGTTAATTTGAAAATAAAGGATTAGGCTACAAAGAGTAAAATATATAATTTATTAATTAATACAGATTATTCAAGGTACTGTTCTTAATAAAATAATCAACCTCTAATTAAGAAATACGTTGTCTTGCCTTTGCTGCTGGACTGCATGCAGAACTCCAATTGTGGTCTTTCTCTCCTGGTTGATGCTGATGATGTCACGTATGAGGCCAAGCTATTTTGTTTACAACTAATTTCACTTGATTTTAAAATTTTATACAGTTTAAGTCAGAATTATTAGCCCTCCTGAATTATTAACCCCACTGTTTATTTTTCCCCCCAATTTCTGTTTAACGGAGAGGAGATTTTTTTAAACACATTTCTAAACATAATAGTTTTAATAACTCATTTCTATTAACTGATTTTTGTTTTATCTGTGCCATGATGACAGTACATAATATTTGACTAGATATTTTTCAAGACACTTCTATACAGCTTAAAGTGACATTTAAATGCTTAACTAGGTTGATTAGGTTAACAAGGCAGGTCAGGGTAATTAGGCAAGTTATTGTATAACGATGGTTTGTTCTGTAGACTATCGAAAGAAAATATAGTTTAAAGGGGCTAATAATTTTGACTTTAAAATGGTTTAAAAAAAAAAAACTAGCAAATATAAAACAAACAAGACTTTCTTTAGAAGAAAAGATATTATCACACATACTGTGAAAATTTCCTTGCTCTGTTAAACATAATTTGGGAAATAGTTAAAAAAGTAAAAAATATTCAAAGGGGGGCTAATAATTCTGACTTCAACTGTATATACAGTACACACACACACTGTATATGTGAGCAATATCATGCTCATGGTACTGCTTTATGGCTATGTACAATGTTACTGTGCACACATCACAGCAGTGCTGATGTACAGCCATATTGCAATGCTACAAGTGTGATATGTTTATACAATGCAATCAACAGCATAATAGTGTATAAAAAATTTAATTAATGCAAAGATTATCAAAAACCCTTTTTTGCATAGACCTACTTTCTTTCACTATGCATTCACATTTGCAGCTGACCATCTGAAAAGCCATTGCTAATTAAAAAATGTCACTTAAGAAATAGATTTGAAATATTCTCTTGCTGAAAGTATTGTAATGTAATGTTGTAGTGTTGACAAAAAAAGATCTCTCATACAGATCAAGATTATAAGGCTAAACGAGTTCTCGTGTATTTTTCTGCTGCATCCAGGTATTCACAAACATTAACCCCATAAAAACTAAAGCAAAGCAAACACAACTAGATTACTGAAGTACAAATACAGCAATACAAAACACTTTCATTTTTTTTTATTAAATATCCTGTTCTGATTAAATATCCTGTTCTGTAGTGATTAGTTCAGCTGTGGTTTAAAATATCTGCTGAGAAAAACATTTATTTATGTTTATTATTACAATTAGTTTATGATTATTATATTGTCTGTCACCATTTTATGGCGGAGCAATGTAACGCCACCTTGCTAATCACTGTTGCTCCAATGCTGTGGTTTGTAATACAAAGCATTTTGATCAAGTATCACTACAATTTTAATCAAATGTCATGTATTGAACAACACAATTTAATAAACTATTATATACAGATGCTAAGTCTGTCAAAGCAATAATGACCAAGTTTTCATTTAGGATAATATACATTAAGCTGTAAAATAAAATAAAACTTAACATTGCGGTCAAATCTATTTGCTCTATAAGTGTCCATGAAAGGCTACTGACGCATTGGAAGTCCCATCTACAAAATCATCAACACATTTTCAAATAGGCACTATGCTTATAAATAAACTGCATATTTGCAGTCTAAATAACTACATTCTTGCCTAAAACAGTATCAATTGACAATATTTTGTCCACAGCCACAGTATTTTTACAAACTATAGTGAGTTTAGTCCTAAACAGAGGTAAATAGACTGGATAAGTTTTGATACTGGCAGAATATTGCATGGCTATCAGATTTGAGCACCAGAAAGAACTGTTGTATATGTATATTTATGCATTTTTTTGTTTTTATGTAACAACATTTTCATTCATTTATTACTGCATATTAACAGTTAGCTAGTTGCCCAATCTCAAACATTTCTGTTGATTTTAAACTACAGCACTGATTAATTTCTCTGTGTTTCTCAGGTTTCAATCTAAGTTCCGCATCTCTGGAGGGGGACGAGAAGGTTTTAACATTCCAGCGTTACGTAGAAACCTGTAAATTTGCCAATGGCCTTAAAAAGTTCATGAAGGATCCCAACTTTGCCTCTCAAACGGTAGGCCCCCTATAGGAAATAGTTTGTTTTACATATTAATTGTATATGTTTAGAAAGGATAGCATTGGTCAGACTGTACTTTGGTAACTCAACAGAAACATTACAGTCATTACGCTCTCTGGAGGCAGTGGTGTAATGTGCTGTAATGACTTAAGTGCTGTTTTCTGGGCGATCATTACTGCAGGCAGTAAAGTACAGCACTGCAACACTGCCATTATTGCTGGCAACCCACTGGTTTCGACACACATAGAGTCATGCATTAGTTCATCGTCCTCCACATTCTGTGTGGCTTCAACAGGAGGCGGTTGAGATCATTCAGAAGCATTTCGCCGACAAAGTGAGAGCAAAAATCAGTCCTGACCACAGTTATGATGCCAGCTACTATAACGTCACCCCATATCTGGACTCGCATGGCACTACTCACGTGTCTGTGCTCGCTGAGGATGGCATGGCTGTTTCTGTGACCAGCACCATCAACCACATGTATGTGCACTTAATAATATTCACTCTAGTAAGTGCTAGGACACGCAGTGAGATGATGCTTATTATTTAGGCCATGTTTCTGTTTGGTTTCAGATTTGGATCCAGGATTTTCTCCTCCAAAACAGGCATCCTCCTCAATAATGAACTTGCAGACTTCTGTGGAAAAACTGATCAGATTCATGCTGGTCAGTAAATCTTCATGAATGACTTCTGCTTTGTGTGACTCCTAATAGGTACTGCTCCTGAAATTAAAGGGATTTTTTAGAACAAATATCCAATATAAGTTATCCAATCCAGTTAGGATGAGTTTTTTTTAAGAATGCACAATTTATTGGTACTAAATAAGTTAACAGCTTCAAGTTTATCACACTCCAAAATAAAGGTACAAAATTTGTCACTGGGACTTTTGTATCATACAGGTGGATATTAGTACCTTTAGGGTGCACTTTTGTACTTTTTAGGTTCACTTTTGTAGCTTAAAGGTGTAACGGGCTACACATTTGTACTTTTTAGGTATTATTATGTAGGGCTGTACAATATTGGAAAAATCATAAATTGCAATATTTTAATTTTCTGTTATAACCATTGCGATCTGAATACAGTTTCGCAATGTAGTTTGAATAGCACTTCTTGATGGTTTTCTGGAGAGTCTAACAGTATTCTGGTACATAAGTTTAATAACCACAATGAAAAAAAAATCCTTTTTTTAGTTTGGTTTGTCTCGTTATTAGTACAAATATCAAAAATTCTTAGACCATGTAAAAATATCATTTTCTTTTCACCGTCATAAGAAATAAGTCATAATTTTTGACTATTATCCCATAAAACAAGCTAAATGATCTGCCAGTGGGGTAAGTGAAATAATCTTGTTTTCGCTTTAAAATGTGAATATTTAAACTAGGGACAAGACAAAAATTCTAATTATGATTTTGTTTTTGCATAAATCATATAAACTTCATACAAATGCAGTGATTTAATACAGTTCTTTAGCTTCTGCTCTACTATAATTCAGACTCAACATAGCATATCTTTGTGATGTGTCTATTACAGTTGTGCACATTGCGATATCAATGCTAAAACGATATATTGTGCAGCCCTATTAATATGTACCTTTGTTAGGAACAAAAAAAGAACCTTTTAAAAATGTTCCACTCCAGTGACAGATTGTATACATTTATTTCTGAGAGTATATAAAAATATATAAAAATCTAATTATAAAAATAACAATTAGAAATACATATATACATTTTGTAAAACATACTCAGATGGTCTTCATGTACATTATATTTGTACATATTTACAGCCCTATTGTAAATGTTTTTCTCTCTATCAATTGTAGCTATTTAGATATCAGAACTAATATACTCTGTATTATTAGTAAAATTCTAGCAGATACATTCATATAAAAACATAGTTATAACATACTTTAATAGATATAAATTTACTTAATAGATATAAGTTCGTAAATGAAACAATGCATTTTATTATTTTGGCTTAGGAAGTGTAAACCAGAATATAAATAAGTTATTTGTTGAATTGTTACATTGTGTCATTGTTAGACTTAGGGCGTACTCACACTAGGTACAGTTGCCTTGGACCGTGCCGAAGCACGGTTGTCCCCCCTCCCTTTTCCCCCGACAGCCTGCATGTTAATTGAAAAGTAAGAATGATTAATAAAACCATATGAAACAGTCCCTTAAAAGTGTCATTGCATCTTCGGTTTCGGCTCAGGTGCGCTTTGACTCACAATAGCATACCATGCAAAAGCCCAACCGAACTGCGGTTTGACACACCTTTTCCAGCCGGGCCAGAGCCGCCCAATTGAAACCTGCCTGGGCCTGATTCGGAGCACTCTCACTTGTCAAATGAACTGGGAATAGCTAGTTCGGATAGTCTAGTGTGAGTGCATCCTTTAAGCAATCTGGCAAATTTTTACTAAGAAACATCATTTTTATGGGTTAAAAATAAATCCCTGAGGTAAGCATAGCACTTTTTGGTGAAATATAGTACCGTTGATTTAGACAGCTTCAGACATTTATAAAATAAAAGTTCAGAATAGGGATTCTGGATACATACATACATGTGTAAATGTTTTTATGACATATCAGGGCACAAATCTGTATAATGACATGGGTATGACACAGGTATTACAAGAAGGTGGTGAAACATGAGGACATTGCTGATGTCCTCATTTCTCAAAAAGGTTATAAATCACATGAGATCAAATCAGATCACATGAGATCAAATCATTTTTTCTTAAAGTAAAACTGTACACAGTTTCCTGTGAGGGTTGGGTTTAGGGGGTAGAGTGGGGTTGGGGCCATAGAAAATACAGTTTCATTCATTCATTCATTCATTCATTCATTTTCTTTTCGGCTAAGTCTCTTTATTAATCTGGGTCGCCTCAGCGGAATGAACTGCCAACTTATCCAGCATATGTTTTTACGCAGTGGATGCCCTTCCAGCCGCAACCCATCACAGGGAAAGACACACACTCATACACTATGGTCAATTTTAGCCAACCCAATTCAGCTGTACCACATGCCTTTTGGATTTGTGGGGGAAACCGGAGCACCCATAGGAAACCCACGTGAACACAGGGATAACATGCAAACTCCACACAGAAATGCCAACTGACCCAGCCGAGGCTCGAACCAGCAATCTTCTTGCTGTGAGAAGAACGTGCTACCCACTGCGCCACCACGTCACCAAAAATAAAGTTTGTACAGCATAAAAACAATGGAAACCTATGTAATGTACCCACAATTCATAAAAACAATAGTGTGTGTGTGTGTGTGTGTGTGTGTTGTGTATTGACCTTATTATTTTAAATGAGAGCAGGTGCAGCTCTTGAAACTGACTAGAAGTCTCGGGATTCTGGTCTTATTCAATTCCATTGATTTTTAGCTGAACAAAATAGCTTGTTATGCTGCTCTGTTACAAACTGCTATTTTCTTTTTTTTTTTTTCATAAACACAGCTGTTTGTAGAGCAAGTAGTTTGACCATTTACGTCCATAAGTTGTTCTTAGTCATTTCCACCATAGGCACAGAAAAGAGCTTGTTCCTGCATTTCAGAATAAGGTAAAAACCCGTGTCTGTTTTGTGTGTGTGTGTAAAGGTGAACAGCCGCCCTCCTCCATGTCTCCAGTGGTTCTTCACTCAAGATCTAAGAAGCATATTGTGGTCATAGGAGCGTCAGGGGGCAGTATGATCACCACCGGGGTGGCGCTGGTGAGCTTCAAGCACACACTATAATGGTTCTTATCAGAACTCTCCAGTGTCCCCAGAAATTATACACAGTAAAATGTACTCAGTTTAGATAGAAACTCTTTGAATAGAGGTACACAGAAGAGAAACTCAAAACTACAACTGACTTCATATGAAATTACAGCCTAAATGAAATCAGCTGAAATATAATACACTGAATCTCTCAAAATCTCAGCAGAAGATCAACTTGATCAGTAAGCAACTACACAAACAGCAGCTTTTCTTATTACTAACCTTACTTACTATAAAGTAAAATAAAGTTTGCCTTACTATAAAGAGGGACCAAATACTCTCCGAACTGAGTAGATTTTACTCACTGGATTTTGCTGTGTAAGTGAAGTTTGAGCTCAAAATACTTTTTGTATGATTGATTTAAATGCTGTGAATATCCCTTTTGACTGTTTTTATGTATCTCTTTATATGCAAATAAGTCACTGATCCATGACTCAACCCAAAAGCACTGTTTTGGTTTTATATATTTAAGTTTACATCAAAAAATCTTGTTTTTATTTTTATTTATTTAATTTTTTGTGGGTGCCAATAACCCAGTGCAGTGTTCCACCAACACATATTTTAGATGTCTCCCTTGTGACCCATTCACTTGAGGTTTTGGAGTCTATTCTGATGTTCTGATAAGTGGGATAGGTTGAAAATATGTACTGTTGGTGTGCCTTCAGGAACAGGGTTGGGAAACACTGACCTAATGGTTAAGTGCGCCGACATATAACATATAGAGTTAAATTCCCGGCTCAAGGTTCTTTGCCATTCCTGTTACCCTTTCTCTGCTCCCCACACAATGTTTAGTTATCAAATGAATGAATTGTCTTTAATTACATGAATTGAATAAATGATTCCAAGTTTAATGAATTATGATTCATTTATAGACTCTAATGAACTTCCTGTGGTTCGGCAAGACTCTGCAGGACTCCATTGACGCTCCTGTGGTGTTTGTAGACTCCAAAAACGTTCTCAACTTTGAGCCCTCATTTGACAAGGTAAGTAGAGGCAAATATTTGTCCAGCGAAGTGTATGTAATGGCTTGTTTCCACTGACTGGTACAGTACTGTATGGTTCGGGTCGGTACAGGTCACCTTTATCAGGCTTGCATTTCCACTATCAAGGGTACCCTTTTGGTGGGCCTGGTGTATGACAGAAAGTTTCAGTCAACATCATTTTCGCTCGAGAAAATGTCTAAAGTAAAACTGTACGGGTTGCTTACATATCATATGAGAAGCACTTCTCACAAAACAGACGCTTTATACACATAAATACTTGTGTATAAATGTTTGTTACTAACTTTTTTCTGTCAACATGAGTTGGTTATAACTGCAGATCAATGACAGTGCGAAATAACCTACTGTAACGTCTGCAATTGTGTAAAATAAATGAATAAATGTAACATATATGAACACATACAGCCCCTTATAGTCTCCGATATGTTACAAACTATAGAAGAACTACACACAGCAGACATTTAGGGCTCTATTTAGAGGGTCCATGCGCAGAGCGCAAAACGCAGGGCGCAAACGCTTTCAGGGCGTGTCAGGACGCGTTTTTGCTAATTTAAGGATGGGAAATCTGCCTTGCGCCGTGGCGCATGTTCTAAAAGGGTTGAGTTTATTTTCTTAATGAGTTATAGGTGTGTTTTGAGAATAAACCAATTAGAGTCTCATCTCCCATTCCCTTAAAGAGTCAGCTGCGTCGCGCCAAGAGCGCATTCGCTATTTACAGGACACAAAGTAAGTCTAAGTGGAAAAAATGAGCATTTCACAAGCAAACAGTTAACAGTTAACGTTTTTTTAACAGAAAACTGTTAAACAGAGCATCTACTTTCACATTTGCTCTTGGATAGGTAAACCTTTACGCACAGACATCAATTAGTCTATGAATAAATACTTTTGTTTGTTAAGCGCAAATATTAGTTTCAAAACTATTTCTAAATTCAGTTCTAATTTCCAGCAAAGGAATAAATAAATAATAATAACAAAATGTCTTCAAAAACCTGAGTTACATCCTAAAACACATGATGTGCCCCTTATGGTCTAAAACCTGACAGGTGGGCAAATCTAAGCTTGTTTTTAATAAAACAAATATAAATATGGATATAATAAATAATACTGCTAATAATAATAACATTATACAAAAGCAAATTGTTATGAATGAACTGAAAAAGCCTCCCGAGATGAAGAAGACATAAAAGCAGTGATTTTTCATATTTATGTAGGCTAGAAAATAATGTTTTGTAATATTTTAATCCTTTATATTTATGTCCTATATCTATTCTTATTATATCCAATATATATCCTTAATATTTAAATTTTTTCATATGTAAAGATATTTGCCTATTGCTCTCTTGTGCGTATTAAGCAGTGCGTAAGCGAGGCGCAACTCTGTGCACAGAGTTTAGACTAGGTTAGTTTTGGTCTAATGAAAAATCTATTATAGTTTCTCAAAATAGCAACGCGCCAGCGGTCCGCCTCAGAACGCCTTCCTTTATAGACCAGAACGCCTATGGGCGCACAAATGAGCGCTAATGCATTTGCTATTTAAACAGCGTAGCGCTGTTAATGTGCTCCTTTTTTTCCAGCTTCTCCTTTGTTTTCTCGCTTCACTCTCGCGTTTGTCAGTTTCTGACAGGATCGGGTTTCAAAAGCACGTCAATAATCAAGCGCACGTTATTCTCATCAGCTCAAGAAGTTTGTTATTTCAGATATAGACGCGTGAAGAGCGCAAGCAAGAAAGAGAAACTGCTTGCGCTTCAGACTGGCTCGTGAAAAACTAAGGGGCACTGGGTAAATCTGCTCTTCACTTTGGCGTTTTGGCTGTTCATCTAGACGACAACAAGGTTTGTTTGAGCCCGGGTCGACCATGGCTCATTATTATATGTATATATATTTACGCTGTAATCTCTCGGCTGTGTATTTTAAACATGGCATGTTTTCATTCTGGCTTGTTGCATAAGCGAATCACGTTTCTCTGTAAACCAATAGCATTCAGCTGTGCATCTAGCTTCGCCTTTTGGTAACCTTTCTTGTGATTGGTTCCCTTTCAAAAGGGTGCTGAAAAAGTGGTATGGTATGGTATGGTTTGGTTCGGTACGCCTTTTGAAAGTGAACTGAGCCGTATTGTACCGTACCGCTCAGTGGAAACGGGCCATTAAGGGCCAAGTGAAGTTTTAAAACATCTCTCATCTCTTCTCCTCCTCAGATAGTTGTGGAGTCACTTAATAAGATCGGGCACAAAGTCAAAGTCCCACAGATATTTTATAATGTGGTTAATGCCGTTTCAAAGGAAAACCAGTGTATAGTGGCCGTTTCTGACTCAAGAAAAAAAGGAAAAGCTGCAGGATATTAACCTAGAGTTCAGCTGGAGACAAACTCACTCCAGCTCTTGTGACTCTTCATCATCTGTGCCGTTTTTTGGATAAGAAGTGCATGACAAATAGTTTCAAACACCATCAAAATGGGATTTGTTTTGGTGTACTTTTAGTGAACACCATCAAAATGTGACCTTTTTATGTACTGTGAAACAACTCAACAAAATATTTATTGTAAATATGCATTTTTTGTATAAGTATGCACAAAATATGTGACTGATATTTTACAATATTTAAAATGCAGTTTTGTGTGTTAGATATCACTTTTGTATTTGAATCAGCTTGTTTATTATGAGTTGATGTGTGCACAGAAAGGAATCTTAAAGGTCAAATATACAATACTGTTAAAACATTTGGGGTCTGCAGAATTTGTCTGCAAGTTTTATTAAATACTTTTATTAAGCAGGAATCAATTAAACTGATAAAAGGTTACAGTTAATCTTTTGAGCAAAATGAATAATGTTTTCCACAACACAAAATCTGTTTTTAACATCTATTATAAGAAATGGATTTGAACAGCAAATCAGCCTACTAGAAGGATTTCAGAAGGATCATGTGACTGAAGACTGGAGTAATTCAACTTTGCCAATATAAATAGTGTGTGTGATGAAAAAATATTACACATCCAAACCTTTAAATGGTAGCACTTGTTCGTCACAACACTGGCAAACACACCTTTCTTTCTTTCTTTCATAATTGTATGGTTATTTTATGTTTATCCATGATGGTTAAACCAAAACACATGAAGCAATGTTTATAACCACAACTGATGTTTTACAATTTCACCTTTTATGTAAGTATATAATAAAAGTTTCACTTTAAAATGTTTTGAATACAAATGTAAAATAAATAATTTAATATCAAAATATTACTGCCAAGAATCTGTTTTTGGGTTTGTTTACATATATTTTTTCAAGCATATTTACATGACAAATATGTAGTGTGTGTGTGTGTGTGTGTTTGTGTGTGTGTGTGCGTGTGTGTGTGTGTGAATGTGAGTGTGTTTGGTAAGTTACTTTAAAAAAATAAAATTGCTGACATAAGAATGACTATTTCTTTGCTATGTGCATGCAAGGCCAAAAGTTATCACAATAGCCCCTTTCACACAGTAATACCGGTAATTGCCTCCAAACGGCTGCGCTTATATTTGTAACAGTTGACTCTATTACAAACTGTTGATTAAGGGTGTCACGATCCTCCAAATCCTCGATTCGATTACATTTTCGATTCTAAAGGCACAATTTGATTCGATTTTCGATTATGAATAATTAATTAATTTATGACCAATTAATTATTTGTAGCCTACCGTTTAAACTACCTGACCTGTGTGGTCTTTGTTTTACCCATAAACAAATCATACAGTAAATGAATAAAGGCAAGATACACACATAATTACCACCTGTCAATCACTTTTTCTGCGGGACTCGTTAATAGGCAGTGATCTGTGTCGTTATAATGGCGTCGGTAAAAAAGACGCACAACCAACAGGAACCAGCCAACAGTATCTGAGGTGTTCGCTAAAATGACTAAGTACAAGTGAGTTAAAGATTGAAGCAGTCTACTGATCCTCTGACTGCCTGAACCCGCTGTCTCGAACACATGGCTGTGTGTGTGCGTCTGTGTGTGTGTGTGTCAGAGGGAGAGAGGAAGAAGGGCTGCTCAGAAATGCTACACGCCACTGTGGATGTCAAATCGTTGTCGTTCTAAAATGCCATTTAAAAACAAAGACAGTGTAAACAGGGCCTGAGTGTGTACTTTTCGCGAGCGGATTTGCAACGGGGGCAGGCGGAGGATCGTGATGCCGGTGTTGTCTATCGGACGAACCCTAATACGTACATAGCAGAGCTTGCAAAACTGTGTTTTTTTTGTCGACAACACGAACGTTGTCAACATAACTCACTGGAAATCCAAAATGCTTCCACACCGGCGACTTCATTGAAAGAGGAGAGGATTTAAGCTCTGTCGACGGGTCTCCTGTATCTGCACTTCAACAAGCCTGTTTTTTTCCCGCTTGGCAACCCAAGCTGACGTGACATGGGGGCGTGGCAGCATCGACGATTCTATTTTTTGATTTGATAATCGAAATTGAGCATAAATTTCGATCGATTTCGATTAAAAATCGAAATCGTGACACCCCTACTGTTGATGGATAAATATTGTGAACAACTTCGATGAAAACATGGAGGAACACTTTCGCGTGTCAGGATGTACATATTATGTGTGTGTGCTGGCGCTCGCCGGCTGCTTCACGAGCAAACGCGTTAGAGCTTAAAAGTAACATACGACTGTTTATCAAAAGCATTTTATCGATTTTTTTACACAGTCGACATAATGATGGAACATAGAAACGTTATCTGACTAACATCTAGCAGCTCAATTTGTCTGGAAAAATATTCAAAGGCTTTTGTGAATGCGTCTGAGTGTTCTGATTGGCTAAAGTAGACTCCTCACGTCAGCGCGTTCTAGACATGCATGCGCTCTTTCCTGTAGTCTTTCTTCTGCATTCACACAGTGCAAATTACTGGTAATGTTACAACTTCTAAAATAAAGGAAAATAAAATTGAGAAGAAATTTGGGGTGGGATGAGATGTAATTCTTTGGAACTGAACATGCTTAATGTAATTAAACCTTTTACTACTATTTCAGTTGTGTTCAGAACTGCGAAATGTATTTGTTTAAAGCATGTTGATGAGGAAAAAAATATCTTTAATTTATTGATGGAAATATTTTGGCACTATCACTTGCCTGTTATAAAATAGAATTGGATTGAGGGGGGCGTGCAAAAGTTGAAGCCACATACCCATCACGCCCCATTCACGCGGGGCTTCAGCGTCAACGCTTGACTGAAGGCGTTTCTGAAGTTGGGGCTAAAGTGATCATCGTAGCAGTGTCAGCCAAAGAAATTCAGTCAGCAATAGGCCAATGTCTAGCAGGTGTATTTGCATACAGCGATCTGATTGGCTGACGCTTCCTTCAACGCTTGAAAAGTTGAGCTAGTCCCAACTTCTGCAGCGAGCAACGCCTCTAAAGCTGCACCGACAGATCCACAATGCAGTTCGGCAACGTGTAGGCGCAGTTGCGCCCCTCCCACGGGCCATTAGAATAAATATCTTTAGCATGTAGCCATTCATAACTCTTAAACTTTAATTGATAATGGTCTTAAAAATGTCTCAAAATTGACTGGGTGAAACCTGCGTCCAATGGGTTGTTTTTGCAGAATGAAGGCCTTCATTCGTATAAAACTGCTCTCCACTTCACGTCAGGCTCTGAATTTATTCTCGGATATCAACTGCCTGGATCTACTCAGTCCGTTACGTAATGGTCATCAGTACAACATAAAATATTTGTGCTTATTTTCACTCGCTGAATAACTTTCAAGTAAGATTGAGTGGCTGTTTGATTGCCGAAATATTTTAATGGTGTACAACAGGACTCTTGAAAGTGTGTTGAAGTATTGACGTTGTGTATTACTGACTGCCTGTCAGGCTCTTGGCATCTCTCGGCATCTCTAAAGTGTGCAGATGGACGGTCAAAGGGAATGTTTAGCTCAGCTGCTCATCACTGATGCCTCCACAGCAAGACGTCCAGCATTTCTTTATAATTAACATCCCGAGCCCTGAAAATAGAACGCGTCTGACTCATGAAAATGTACTGCAAGATGCCATACCAACAATGCTGAGTGATTGCATTAGCTTTGGCATCATGATCGGAAAGTTCAACGCAGAATTATGAGCTCTAGTTATTCCGGAGCACAAGAATAAACGTTGTCGTGTAATCGCTTGACATAAGCAGTTAGCTTAACTTAAGCAGCAGTCAGCAGCAAACCCTTAGAGTCTGCCTTCTGCGCGAGACTAAAAGCCCAGTCATTTCAAGTCCACAGGGGAGCTTTAGTCCTGATTCTGCCTGCTGCTACCCCAAATCTTTTTCGCTCTCTTTCCTTTATGCTTCCCGTCCCGGAGCTGAGAGCATATGGAAGCTGGAGGGTTTCCTGTCTGACAGTGGAATAATAGGATGTGAATCATCTCCTCAGCCCAAACCTATAGCCATCCTTAGCAAGCGCGGGCTGGGGGACAATACGACTGTCAGATTCTTGTGTGCTTCTGGACTTCGCCTTTTGTGTGTCAATCAGCAGATTTCCTTCATTCTCAGTTCATTCAGAGTGTGAGTGTGTTGTTGAGAACTCTTTGACGGAGCAGTGATGAGCTCTCCAGAAAGTGAACAAAAGCCTGCTCTGCAGTGAGTTATGGGAGTACGCCGGTGGCCGCACTACTGAAGGTGTACGTGGCTTTAGGGCTTTTGAAGAACAGAAAGATTTTCTTGTTTGCTTGAATATTTTATTCTGCCTTTTCCCTGCTGAGTTATGTCAGCATGGAAATAAATGCAAATCACACATAGGCGAGGCCTGGGGCGCTTTTATACTTGCATGTTTCCACTGGCTGCTGCTGCATTGAAGAGTGCCTGCGATATGAAATGTCAAATAGAAGTTAAAGAGTTTTATGTAAATATACACCTACTCTACTCTTCAAAATGATTGGGGTAGGTTTTTGAAAGAAGTCCCTTACGCACAGTAAGACTGTATTCATTTGATCAAATACATGAATAACATTGAATGACTTCAGCATATCTGGAGCATCTGCACATCACTAGTCACACAGAAATCACTAGTCTAACAGGACATCACTATTGTCTCTAACAGGACATCAATATAGTCTCTAAAAGGACATCACTATTGTATCTAACAGGACATCACTATAGTCTTTAACAGGATATAAATATAATCTCTATCCGGACCTCAATAGTCTCTAACAGGACATCAATATAGTCTTTTGCGGGACATCACTATAGTCTTTAACAATACATCACTATAGTCTTTAACAGGACATCACTATAGTCTTTAACAGGACATCATTATTGTCTGTAACAGGACATTAATAGTCTCTAACAGGACATCACTTTTGTCTCTAACAGGACATCACTTTAGTCTCTAACAGGACCTCAACAGTCTCTAACAGGACATCACTATTGTCTCTAACAGGACATCACTAGTCTCTTACAGGACATCACTATAGTCATTAACAGGACATAACTATTGTCTCTAACAGGACATCACTATAGTCTCTAACAGGACATTAATAGTCTCTAACAGGACATCACTATTGTCTCTAACAGGACATCACTATGGTCTTTAACAGGACCTCAGCAGTCTCTAACAGGACATCACTATAGTCTATAACAGGACATCAATAGTCTCTAACAGGACATCAATAGTTAGTCTCTAACAGGACATCACTATTGTCTCTAACAGGACATCAATAGTCTCTAACAGGACATCACTAAAGTCTCTAACAGGACATTAATATAGTCTCTAACAGGACATCAATAGTTAGTCTCTAACAGGACATCACTATTGTCTCTAACAGGACATCAATAGTCTCTAACAGGACATCACTATTGTCTCTACAGGACATCACTATAGTCTTTAACAGGACCACAATAGTCTCTAACAGGACATCAGTATAGTCTCTAACAGAACATCACTATAGTCTTTAACAGGACATCACTATAGTCTTTAACAGAACATCATTATTGTCTCTAACAGGACATAACTAAAGTCTCTAACAGGACATCATTATTGTTTCTAACAGGACATCACTAAAGTCTTCAACAGGACATCACTATAGTCTTTGACAGGACATCATTATAGTCTCTAACAGGACCTCAATGGTCTCTAACATGACATAATTTATTTGTCAGTCTCTTTCAAAGTTCATTGCTTGTATTGAGTTTCCTAATCATAACTTTGTCACCAATGATTTTCCAAATATTTTCAATTAGGTTTAGTTCAGAACTCTGTACTGGCCATTTTAATAT